TCTTGTATATGAACTTTTATGGTAGTTCTTAGAACTGCTTTTGTAAAATGATAAAAAAATTGTTTTTTAATCAATTTTAATATTTTTGTTTTTATCTTTTAAACAAGTTATTTTTTTCAAAGTTGCATCTTTTTTAAGTAGATTAGAGAGTGCTGAATAATTTTATTTAGAAGCTAGATCTCAAGTAGTGGTTGGAACTGGTTTTAATAACTTTTTAAAAATAAAAACCGAATATAAACCGGTTATATTATATCCGGTTAAATGGTTATATTTAATCGATTAAATTTGATTAATCAGTTATATTTTAAATTCAATTAACCGGTTGTATTTAATCAATTAAATCTGATTATTCAATTATTTAGTTATCAGTTATATTACCATTACAAGTGTTTTTATAACATCTGATAAAAAATTGGCCGAATGGCTGTTTGGCTGGTTCAATAAGTTTTGTTTGGTGGTTATAAACATCTTAGTTTAGATAGTATTCAGAGAAATACTACAATGTCAATGCATTTAAAATTACAAGCCCTATATGTTTGGTGTGTTTTATGCAAGTATCTATAAGATTATTCATGCCAACAAACAAAAATAGCAAGTATTTTAAAAGTAACATTAGGATGATATGAGAGTTTGGAATTGAGTTGTCTATAATGATGAATTAAAGTGAATTTGATTAATATGATGTGTTGAGCGAAAGATTCTTACTATCGATAAAGAGCTAGATCCGCCACTACATCTTGCATGAAAGTTTTTTCGATCAAAAAACATTGGTCACATTTATAGTTGTTAGACAAAACCTTTTTCGCATGATAATGAAAGACGAAACCTCTGACGAAAGGTGAAACCTTAAAATGACGAAACCTTATGCTCAAAAAGATGAGACTCTAGTGCTCTCTCTATAAAAAAAAAAAAAAATTGTTATTTTTATTGAATTAACTTTTATAATTTATACAAAGATCAGTATCTGAAGTTACATATATACTAGCAAAAAATAAACCAGTTCATTTTTTCTGGACAACGCCAGGGTTGTTATAGACTGGTTAAAGTAACTTTGTCAAAAACCATAGTACTTACTAGAGTTGCAGATGAAACTAATCTTCAATAATACACCAGGTGAAACTGATACACCAATGGAATTATAGATGAAACTAATCTTCAATGGTGCACCAGTTTTCTGGTGAAATTAATTAGTTTTGCCAGCAACTCTAGTACTTACTCATAAAATAATACAAATAATGGATTAAAAAGATGCTAGCACAAAATAAGTTTGCCTCTGTTTAAAACTACAATATAAGCACTATATAAATAATCTTGTAGTATATTACAACTATGCAAATCTCGATAGATAAGTTCTTGAGAATAAATTATTCAAAGATCAAAAGCAATACAATCTAACAATGTTAATTTATCTTTCCATTTCATCTATATTACAAAGCGAAGATTTTTGCGCAAAGAACCCTTTCTTGCATATTCTAAAACAAGAATATAATCTCCAAAATCATCTTTTGATATTCCATGGAATTTTAAAAATAAAGGATGTTTAGAACTAATATCACAATATGCCTTTAAGTTTGATATTAAAATAAAAAAATAAAATACTTAATGTTTAAAAATTATTAAAAAAGAATAATGAACAGAGGTGTGGTGTCTTAGTGAAGTGGTCTAGTCGTCACCCTCTCCAAATGGTAATAGTATATTCCTCAAGGTTCAAATCCCAGGGAAGATGCTTTCGAAAATAGCAAAAACGGAATATGGCAGACAACGATCTCTACTTAGGTTGGCCTATGGATGATTTAGTGATCTGGTGCCTGGGGCATCAGTGAAAGGGATTTCAGGTGGCTGTAATCTGTGGGTAGTGTATAGCATGGGTTATAGGACCGGAGATCGAAGCCTGTTTGGAAAGTCCCAAGTTTGGAGGTAGCAGTAATCTTCGACGGTACTACATAAAGGCTGAATTTGAACCAGGCCAAGATTGGAGAACCGAGCGATCAGGTCTTTTAGTGGGAGACACACTAGTTGAACCACCAGTTTAGACGCACCAGAGAAAAAGGCCATATGCTCCGAAAATATGGACCAAGGGGAGGGCGTCCTTCAGGCACTTAAAGCCTGAGCAGACCAACCCGTCCGGGTTGTCGGCTAGAAGTAAGGGAGGGACCGATAGAGAATCCAGGTAAAAAGACGGTTGAAGTGTGGGTACTGGGTTGTTGTGAACTGAACAAGGGCAGAAGTACGTAATGGATGACTAATTAGGAAGGTTGTGATTGAGATATGGATTGTGTTATAGCAGCACCCCAAAAGGTGATATGAGATACGAACACAATAGCGGCAAACAATTGGGAAGAAATTACCAAACATGCAGGTAAAAACATGTGCAGGACATGGACTACTCTGTTAGGTTTACCTCGTAGATAGACTAGGCTCAATATGAGGTTTAGTAAGTTATAAGATGGGTACAAAATCTATAGATGTCGCAAAATCTATCTCTATATGTAGTGAGTTATACCTTGGTTAGGTAGAAGCTGCTGCATAGTTGTAATCAGAGGGTTTAAATGGGTACCCCCCTAGTTGGGTGCAGGTATGGCAGATAGTGTAGTACCCTTAGCATAGCACTACTGCTTTGGGCGAACTACTTAAATTAGGCACCAAAAGTGCATGTGTGGCTTGATATACCTTTGTTATAATTGTAATGTTTGAATCTACTTAATAAAAAGTCCCCGACCAAAGATGTAACCTTAATACCAAAAAAATAATAATAATAATAATGAATATATAAATAAAAATTACTTCTTTTATAAATCCTTTATTATAAGATTTTGATCCATAAAGTAATTTTAGTACAACTTCTTTCTGAATACCTTGTATATAGTCTGACCAATTGGTATAAAATACCATTGAAAATCCACCTTGTTCTATTTTTTTAACATCTATAAACTCTTTATATGAAATCCATGCTAATGGATATTTTCCCTCAACCAATAATTTTTTGACATCATTATCAATATTAGAATTTTCTTTTGTCCATTTACTTATGACTAAAAAAAAATATTAGTAAACAAATTTATACTACATCAAAGTAAACAAATAACTTTAAAGTTACCTTTGCATCTTTTCTTTTACTCTAATTATTATTGAATAATGCATGTTAAAAAATTATAATTACAGTAAAAATTAAATAAATAGGTTATTTACATTTGTTACCAATAGTTAGTCTTTTGTAAATCTCTTGAAATTTCGATCCCGTTTTGATAACAATAACCAAGTTGAGATATTTCTTAGTGTATCCCATCTCAGCAGATTTTTTATAATAAAGAAATGCTTTATAACTATGCTTGGATCGAGTTCCTTGGGAACAAAATGCTTAGTTCTTAGTTGTACAGAGGGTTAAGAAGTAAACGAATAATAAATACAATACTATAAATAGAATATGTAAATATTAAAATATATTGATATAATAAACATATATCATAAAATTCTAAATAAGCACTTACGGTTAGATAGGTAACCTGCATAATTTTTTTTATAAAAACTGATTTTTATATAAAAAAATTGTACAGGCCACTATCTACTTGTAGCAAATAAGCACTTTATCTATAAATAAGTGTCACATAGTTGCAAAAATACTTCTATACCTGGTACATGAATATTTGTGTAAAGAAGAAAGGTATCTTGCATAAATGAGAAGAAATTGAGAAATAGGTTAGTAGAATGAAATGAATATCTCACATAAATCATGTGGTATCATTGAGGAGATCGAATCAGAATCAATTGCAATATGGTGTAATTTTTTATAAGATTAATGACAAAGTAAAATGTAGTATAGAAGAGGTGTAGTGACTTAGTATAGTGGTCTAGTCATCACCCTCTCCAAGTGGCAGGTCTAGAGTTCAAATCCCACAGACGACAATTTTGAAAAATAGCCTGTGTTACAGTTTACGGTTGTCGATTATTGGTTGGATCTAGAAATCTGTAATCTCAGTCATACCAGGAGCTTTATCTAAGGAACCAGAATAACTGAAAACCCATTTGGCAAGTCCCAAGTTTGGAGGTAGTAGTGATCTATGACGGTACCACAGGAGGGCTGAATTCGAACCGGGCCCAAGATCTAAGAACTGAGTGACCAGGTCCTAATGGCGGAGGACACACCAGCCAAACCGCTGGGTTGTTGCACCAGAGGAAAAGGACATGCGCTTCGAAAGTGTGGACCAAGGGGAGGACATCCTTTAGCCTGGGCAGACCAACCCTTCCGGGTTGCCGGCTGGAAGTAAGAGAGGGACCAGTAAAGAATTCGGGTAAAAAGACGGTCTAAATGTGGGGTACTGGGGTTGCTAGAAACCAAAACAAGGGCAAGGAGTACGTAATAGGCGCTTAGTTAGGAAGGTTGGTGCTTGAGAAACATCTGTAGAACGGCAGCACCTCAAAAGGTGGCATGAGATACGAATATGGAACGGCAGGTCAATATGTACTAATTAGGAAGAAGTTATAGAAACAAGCACATAAATACATGTGTGGGACATGTACTACTGTGTTAGGTTTACCTTGAGGATAGTTAAGTGTTCTAAGGTAGGGTGCGAAATCCACATTAGGTGATACCAAAATCTAGCGTATAAATAGTGAGGAAACCCATTGGGTTAGAGGGCTGATAGAGGTAGTTAGAACTAGATGGTTTAAATGGGTACCACCCTAGTTGGGGTGCAGGTACGGCAGAAAGTGTAGAACCTTCAGGCAAACTACTTAAATAGGCACTCAAAAGGTGCACATGTGGCTTAATGTACCATCATTGTAATTCATATAAAACTTCGTCTATACTCTAATAAAAAGTTTCCCAGACCAAAGAGGTCACCTTAATACCAAAAAAAAAAAAAAAAAAAGAATTAACTTGCATACCGGACATAGTGGTTCAGCATTAATCCTATAATAATCAACATTTTCACTACTATATTCTTTATATAAATCAGGATATTGCTCCAATAATTTGCTACGAAAATAACCACAGGTATATGCTAGATTATTTTGCTTTTCAGATAGAGTCTTCTTGGATAAAGCTTTTTTTCCAGTTTTAGACGTAGACCCACACTTATCTTGGTTTTTGAATTGACAGAAACAGGAGATATACTTACATTGACTTCTGGTTCAAATATAGATGGTGCACTTGCTTGAGCTATCGATGAGGTCTTCTTGGTCATGTCAGCTCTGCTGATAATATTAGTAGAATCTGTATTAGATACATGCTCAAGTGGGACTTTTGGTCTCACTTTTTCATCTTCATTAAAATAATTGAATTTGAGGTTGTGTAAACTTTGAAATAGAATCTGCACTGAATGTCTTGATATTCTTAATATTATCAACTCCTATCTTTTCGATTAATTTGTAAAGTTTTATTGATCTTTGGGTTCTTTTATGTAAGGTTTCCAAAGTTAATCCAGAAAGGTGTTTTATTATATCCTGGAATAATCGTTTTCTTGCTGTCTGTTCTGAAATGTTTTCCTTTACCATAAGTTCTTGAACTCCTATTTCAAATCTTTTTCCATATGAGTAACGACATGAAATCTCTTTCTGTTTAGCTTGTATAGTATTTTTTCCTTTAATACTTACTTTTAGAAACAAATGAGCTAGCTCAACTTCTATTGTCATATTGGTAGTAAGTACATCAATGACTTTGATGGTTTTCTCATCTGTGAACTCTGAAGACACTTCTTGAATAAAATTTTGGGCGACTATATAATCATGCGAAACTTTTGTTTCTTCAGGCTGTATTGGCACCAATTTGCTGTTTTGCTCAAGTGGGACTTTTGGTCTCACTTTTTTACTACATAATTCTTCAGATGCAGAAGCATCCTTATTTCGTGAGACTAATATAGAGGATAATTCTTGTTCCCGAAGTTTCTTCTCCCTAATTCTCTGAATTATCTCTTTACTAACCTGTTCCTCATATATTGAATCTACGAATTCATCTATTTCCTTGTCTTCCAATGACTTACTCTCTGTGCAGACGAATGATGCGGAATATTGGGATAAAAGCTCCTGACATACATCAGAATTTGAAGTGTTATCAGATATATTAATTGCAAGAGTATCAATAGTATAGCCACAAGTCTCTGACTCATTACAAAGTAAGTTTGTCTGTTCAGAAGCATTGTTAGAATTTTTTGTTTCAATGGAGGTGATATCATCCAATTTAGATACGAAGGCATCAGTGAAGCTGGCACGGTCATTACTTCGTAATATAATATGGTTGCTCTTTTCTTTGTCAGTTTGTAACTGTTTCTGTTCCAATTTCGCAACCCTAGCTTTAAGTTTGGCATTTTCCGAAGCAGTATTTTTATTGTTCTGCTCCAGTTTCATAAATCTGGATTCATGTTCTTTCAAAGCCTGTTTTAATTTTGCATTCTCAGTTTTAAGTTTGATGTTCTCAGACTTGATCTCAGTGTTTTCCTGTCTAAGTATATCATTCTCAGCTACAAGCTTGGAAATTCGTTCTTTTAATGAATCAACTTTGGATTGTTTGTTTGCCATTTTTTATATTTTATAAAAATATGGATATATTCAATTCTTTATCGTGTTAATGTAAATTAATGAAATTTCAGCGAACGATGCCAAGAAAAAACTTTTTATTAATACATGTGAAAAATAAATACAAATGTTCAGGACTAACTCGCGATACATGATGTCTATACTATTATCTGTGAACTGTCTGCGTGGAGGCAGGATAAATTCACGAAATACACATGCAAAAGTAAACATGATTATGTATGCGAAATCAGCCACCAGGGCCAGCTTTATTGATATAAATAAAAATAATTTACAGGAATAGAATCATTCTTTTTTCAATTCTCCACTTTTTTTCTTGTTTAATCTTCCAGTATCATGTGAAGAGCTTCTTTCACTAACCTTCCTGGATCTTGTCTGAAAACTGTTGACAAGTTCACAATAACTCCATTCTAAATAAAGAATTAAAATTTTTGAGTGATTCGGTCAAATGCAACCTAATGAAAAAAATACTTACCTGTAAAGTTAATAAAGCATGAACAAATTCTTCAATTTCATTAACTGACTCCATGCTAAGGGTACTTTTGCTTTAGCGATTGGAAGATAATATTTAATCCCGTTTTCTCGTATAAGTCTGTGGATTACGAGACATTCACCTGCAATATTGACTCCCAATCCCATATAATTTTCGTACAAAATATCCTTTTTACACTTTTTTGAGATCTCTTCGTATCCATCAAGACAATGTTGTACTAATTTATTATGATCATCATTTATTTTTTTATCACTGGCATTCCACTTGCCACTTTCAAAATAGACAAGTTCCTCCCATCTTTGTCTATGATATGATCGTATCATGAGATCTGGTTTGTCACCTCTAGATCCTTCATTATTTTGAGCTTTGCGATTTTTACTCGCGATACTTTGTTGCTCAGCTCTCGTTACATCAATCTGCATTCTGCAGATAGGTGGTACATGGTAGCATCTATCAAATGGGATATAATTTCCATGAAAGAATTTTCGGAACCTCTAGAAATTTTACGAAGTGCGTTAAATCTTATCTCCTGTAAAAGAACGTCAGTAACAATCTTCGCTATACATTCCCTTTCATGAACCTCCTCAACCCATTGATTATGTTTTGCTGTTTCCGTTGATGATAGTACAAACTTTTTCAACTTTTGGACTTCGTTTCTTCTTGCAACAAAATCACTACAAATATTCTTTATTTTATTATCTTTACTTAACATTCTTATGCACGCCTTTTCTTTCTGTAAATAGTTTGTAAGATAATTAATCTCAACCGTAATCGATACTCGAAATTAATTCATACAGCCTAATACCATTCCTACATACCACGAGAGAAACATAGTCACTTTCCGAAAGTTGAAATTTATCTGAGCTTAGGTTGACAGTACCATTGCATAATGGATCATCAGGCGTTAAATCATCAACATTTTTTTCAGATATTTTCTTGAAAAGATGGTCATGAGCCAGAGTATTTTCTTTCTAGAATTTTAAAATATACATTAAATTATTGCTTTCTTTATCTTTCACTAATCATACTGTAACGTACTTTTATTGCTTCTCTTAAGATAGATATGTTGTTGGAAGCTATTTTTTTCCAATCGATTGTTCTTTGAATTTTCCACGTAACAGTCACACTTTTACTAATGACATAAGCTCTTTCCAACTATATCGTATCTGCAAAAAATAGAAGTCGGGTTAATAAAGTTCAAAATCATCATCTTTGGATCAGATAAACTCGACTTTTGAATCTGTATTTGCCAGCTATTGGGGTTTGTTTCTAAACCCTTACTGTTAATAATAATCATGAAAAATGCAATGAAAAAGATTATCGCTGGTAGTATACCACTTACTCAATCGCACTGCATAAATTAATGTCTAGAGACAGTGCATTTTCATCATTTTCATATATAATAAAAATATTATTAGAGGTACAATTTACCTTGTTATCGTCTTGCAATAACTTAAGGTGAATTTTACGATCATTGGTAATATTTTCATTTTCTACTTTTCTTAATAGATTCTTAAGACATTCAATGTCCACTTCTTCAGTTTGAATTTTAAAAGAGTTCCACTGTTGTTGAAAAATTCTGGAGATAGTAATTTGATCTAAAGGAGTATTTTTTAAAAAGTCGAGTAGTGGTGCAAAGATTTCACTTGATGAGATAGTTTCATAAGAAATTTCAGACATGGTTTGTAATTTAATTATAGGATATCAGTATATGTAGCAGAAGACAAAAATCACTATAAAGCGACAAATGACAATAAATTCGAGATACTGCCCTTTTATATATTTTTCTTATCTATTTCCTGAAACTCGAAATGTCAGATAGGTTAGACAGAAGTAAAAACATGCACTCTTACATCGAAAATTTTTACGATAGAAGTTGGGGCACATATTTCCACGCAGAGAAATTTCCACTGATGATGCGAAAGAATTCTATAAATTATGTAAATGTATGCATCACGAGTTATAAAGTCATGTAACATTATTAAGGGACTTGATACTCCGTAGTACATGCATACATTGTGCGTATTTAGGCCAGATAAGGTTCAAAAATATATGTGGCATGGGTTAATTGACTGAATTTGGTTAGGTACTAATTTCAGCCGGGCACCCCGGTCGAAAAATGAAAAATGGCACTTTGAGATTGTGCCCCGTCTCACAAATAAGTTATACATAACGAAGGTGATACAGATAAATTTATACGTATGCAAAATTTTTTTACAGGTCTTACGGCTAAGGTTAACAATTAGGTGGCCGGATTTTGTGTTGCCGGTAATTTTTAGATTAAGGTTAGATTTTCATATTCGTTCATCAAATAGTTCATGGTCACAAGTGTAACTTGATAGTCTTGTGTTTGTCGTATTTTAATTCTATATGCTATGCCGTTTCTATTGTAGGATAATGTATAATAATACAATTGTTGTTTGACTTTATTTAGTATTTTATCTGATAACTTCTTTAGGTCAGTTACTCTGGGGTATCGTTCCATTATTGTAGCAGCTTCTAGTCGGTCCTTCTTTTCAAATATGGATAGATATTTGTATCCTTTTAAAATTTGTTCTAGGTTGAGTACTCATTTTTCTATTAGTTTTAGTGGTGCTATCTTGTTTTGTACTTTTTGTTTTAGTTTTGTTGCTTTTCGGATTTGTTTCGAGGTGACTTTTTCTTTATCTTTCATTAGGTCTTCTAGTTCTTGTTCGGTCATTTCTGTCAGTTCTTCTTGTTCGAATTCTGAATCTACTTCTTCAAATATTCCAGGGTATATCTTTCTTTGGTTTGTTATTATTTTGATTTGTTGTGTAAAATTCATTCTGTTCACCATATGTAATACTGGGTAATCTCTTATTCGGTGAAATATATAGTGTATTAATGGTAGCTGGTTTTCTTCAATTTGTCTTAGTGAATATAATTTCCATGGTCCTAATGTATCAGGTTCCATGTTCTGTGGTGCTTCATTTTCTAATTTAAATATAAATAATCCTAGTGTTATTAGGTATTTTGCTTGTTCAGCTGGGCATCCCGTAGCTATCCATTCTTGGTCTGAGTAGTATGAGTTTTCATTAATTTTTCATTCTTTACTACTAATTGTGCTTCTTCAAATATTTCTCTATGGGCTGTTGCTTCTATAGTTTCTATTGGTATTCCATATTCATTAAGTTTTCCTTTTCCACCCATTCCGTTTAGTGTTCCAAAAAATGATTTAGCTGGGTTTACTCTTTGTCCCAATAAAATGTAGTCTTCATTTTCAATTGTTGTGAATGGTATTGCTTGGGTCATTATTCTTTTAGGTAAGTTCAAAGGGTTGCATAAAATTAATGGTCTGTCCAGATATGCCATCATTTCCGGATTTATTTGTGATATACCCAAGTTGTTGGTACATTCTTGTTGTTGGTCCTTTTGGTTCCAAAGTTCCTCGAATATGTTGTAGTTCTGATTCAAATTCTCTCCAAATTGGTTTCCAAAATTTTGCATGGTGTTTTTTTTAATCCTTTCCAGGTTTGTATCCTATTTCTTCCTGGGTTTTCGTATTTATAAAATTCTTCTCGGATATTTACTCCTGTTCTCTTTTGATATATTCTTTCTATATAGTTATTATAATATTCTTGTCTAGATTCTCTTTCCCACTCTCCTACTTTCTTTCCTATATATAGTTCGTCTTTTTTCTCAAATTTCGAATTTAGACTATTTTGTATATTTCTTATTTCACAAACTAACCAAAAAGTAGTCAGGGTTTTGGTAACAATTATATATATCTAGTGGTTCTTTATCTAATACTGTACTTCTTAGTACTACTTCTTCAAGTTCTTCTTCTAAGTCTTGTTTTAGAATTTTAGTTAGGTTTTCTGATTGTTGGATTGTTAATTTCTTTTTTGGTCTGTTTATTTTTTTGTCAGGTTTATAGTTTATTGAGTAATACTCTTCAAATAATAGTTCAGAGCTTGGGAATTTCCAATGTGTCATTTATTCCAAAATTGTTTGTGATATTTTCTGAATTCTTCGTAGCTTTTTATATTGTGTTCTTTTTCTTCTAGGCTATGGTTTGTTACTTTCCAGTATAGAGTTATAATGAATAGTTGTAAGCTTGACTGTAATTCTTTTCTTATCCACTTTAATCTTTCTTCTTCATCTTTTACAAAAGTGTTGTCTTTTGAGTTTGGATTATAATTCAAATATTCTGTAATATATTATTTCTCTAGATTTGTCAATTAAATAAAATATATGTTGAGTTCCTTCTTCTGCTTGAAGTAAAGAGTATAAATTATGTTGTATGTCTTTTTCGTGATTAAAGAATTCGTTCTTGAATTCTTGATGTAGTTCTTTAAATATCGTAACTGATTCTTCAATAGTGAATTTTGTTTTCTTTTCAGATTCAAATCCTTCAGATTTCCAATATATGTCAAAGTATTTCCCTATGTTTTTTTTTTTTTTTTTTTTTTTTTTTTTTAACAAATTTGGCAGTCTTGCCTTCACTTTATTAGGCTTTGTAATAATTTTCTAAACTATTAAAATTTTCCAAAGAGCTAATCTCTT